TTTTCTCTTACATGGTAAACTTTGACAACAATAGAACCTTTAAAAAATGCATGTGTACATGTGTGTGGAGTTATATACCAAAACTCAATGCGAATCTAGAGTAATTGGCTTCAAAACCGAGCAAACATTATTCGATCATTTTCATTGCACGCTCTTTTTCGGTTCTTTCTCGACGTGCTCATCAAACTCCCAATCGAGAATATCCATGGAGCTCCTCCTGCTGTGTCCCTCGTCGAGTTCCAGCTCAAATTTCAACTTGGAAAACTGTGTCTCTGCATCCAAAGGCCTATTATAATTGGCATCATTGTTAGCCGAACGGCTTCTGACCAATGGCAGAGCAATATTCGGACTGAATCCTAAAGAAATCCTTCTTTGCGCCTCATTCTCCGAGCCTGATTGGGTACTAATAAGCTCGGTTTTTTCGTCTGGAGATGGCCTCGGGGACAAAAATGGAATTCGTGGAGCCCTCAGCTTTGGCTGTGGAGGAACCACCTCGTCTGGTACGGGTGGCGGCTCATGTTGCAAACGTGGCCTTTTGATCGATTCGTATTCAGATTTGACCCTTTCGAGCTCGTCTAATAGTTCGTTCACTTTCACGTTGGGTTTTCTCCCGCTAGGAAAACGAGTGCTATTTCCATGTTTTTAAAACAATTTGATTAAAAAAGTGACAATATTATGAGAACATGAGATACTAATTTACCTCGAATCCTCATCTTCTTGTGTTGAAAAATGATTCTTAATGCTATCGACTACGCCGAATGTTGTCGTTAACTGCAAATCATCAGTTGGGCATAATTCTTTTATATTTTCCTGATAATTCTTCAATGATTGACAATGAAAATAGTTTTGTACCTTATTAATCTGAGTATGGTATTGTTCTTCAAGAGTTTTTCTTGCGTTTACTTTGTCGTCCTTTTCGTCTGTGGTAGGTATCCCGTATAGCCCTTTCAAATTCTCTACAATGTCCCTAATTGTAGAAATTGAAGAAGCTACCTCGTCCTGGTTTGTCAAGATGATGCAGACGAATAAACAAATTTATTTAAAAAAAAAAAAAAAATAGAGTTCGAAAAACATTTGTGTGATTTAAAAAGACAAACATTTTGTGTACCTTTTCTGTAGTTAGGAAGCTTATTGTCCAATCCACAAAGTACTCTTCATGTCTCTCCAGCTCATCACTACACAATATAGCCAATATTCATTCAAATCTTGAACAAAAGTAATAAAAACAAAATGACGACAACTTTTTAATTTTTTTAATTGCTACGAATCATGTTGAGGAAACTCACTTGACCCGCTTCTCCTTTTGGTCTGCATGCAATGACTGGAAAACCCAAGTGGTATCGAGAAAATTGACGAACTTGTTGCAAACTTCTGCTTCTGCTCTATATGAAGCTACAGATCTTGACAGCTCGTCATCCTAGACGGTTTTCATCATCTTTTAGTAATTGCATCGCCATTATTCACAAAATCGAAACGTTTAGTCTAATTTTTCTCCAAATAATTCATTCTCGATGTGCTTACGGAATCCTACCTTTAACTTGAAATGTTGAATGATCTGACTACTAGCTTCGTCAAACTGATCCCGTTCTTCCTGAGCATTACGCAGGCGGGCATGTGCAGACGTCAAGGCAGTTGTAACCTAATATACAAATATATGCCATATGGTGTTAAAGATGTGTGAAAAAGTGGATTCTAAGTTATATTTTGTTCGAACATGGTACCTTTTTCAGCTCATCTTCAAGCTCGTCTTTCTTGTTTTGGAGGTCCTTGATTTCAGCTGTAAGTTCCTGTGGTTGTTAAAACTGATATATCAGATACTAGTAAACTTGGACAAAATGTGTATATTTTACAATTAGGAGTGTCACACAAACATTTTACCTTTTCGAGTTGGCTCATTTCACTGGTTTTGTTCACCCGGAATTTAAGAGCTTCTTCTTTCTGCATTCTGTTTGTGAAATGAACAAAGGAACATACATAAGGGAAATATTCGAGAGCAGAGGTTCTTGAATATTCGTATTATTTTTAGAAACAACAAACCTGTTATCCGAAATGCGCTTTTCAGCTTTCAGGGCCGAGCTGGCGAGGGATTCTGATAAAACCTTTAGCTTATCAATCTGCACAATGATTTAAAGGCGTGGTGAAAGACGAGCAGGGAATGAGCTGTGTGATTTTGTGTGTTATCAAGAGAGTTAGCTATCACTATGAAGGGCAAAGCACAAAAATTAAGGCAATTATATCAAGAAAATATATTATTATACCTTCTTGCTATGGGCAGCTGGTGAATCCCAGTTCTTAATGAGTTTCTTCTGCAACAGAAGCTCCTCCAACCGGGAACAAAGTTTAAAATGTTCGAGTGCTTCCTTCAGATTCTGCAAGAATAGGATAAGATGCCGATTATGTGTTCAACAAAACCTAACCAAAAGAAAACAAGGTTGTTTTTTTAGACAAGTGGTATACTACAAAAGATGAGATAGAAGTTCTTGAGTTTATATATATGTCTAAGATGGGTGCACGATTAATCTGTGAGTTAATAATGACATATATGAACCTTAATATGCTACAACTGAAAATTGTCTTACCTCAGTCGAGGTATCAGCTGCTTTGTCGGAGGATTTCTCACCGCCGTCACTAAAAGGCAGCTGGTTTTTCATCTCATCTAGTTTCTTATGTATATTGGAGACTTCAGAATCTATTCTGAGAGCAAATGAAAACACAGAAAAAGTGAAATAATTAAAAAATGCGGTATTTCTTAAGTTAAGAGGAAATAATCCTAAACAAGAAATCTAAAATCTAAAACGACTCATCAAGAACTAAAGGAATAATGACAAAAAAAAAATAATAATAATAAGTCGAGTTATTTAAGATGAAAAGTGAATGCAATGAACTTGTGAACCCATCTACAGTATTTATCGACAACCCGACATACAAAAAATATAAATAACTAAATAAAATATTCTTCAACCAACGAAATCATGGGATGTATACCCTTAACCACCTTACTATCTCAGCATCGACTTTCAGTCCTGCTATTGCATCCTGTGCATATTGCAGCAGCTCTTCTCTCTTCGTCTACGACACACCAAAAAAGAATTGTTCGTGTTCCACAATTTTATTAACAGTAATGACTAGAATAGACAAAATCATGCTGTTTATCTATCTATATACCAGAATTTCCTCATTATAGTTTGTGAAGGCGTTTGCCAATTCTTGTACGTAGTTCACCGTTACATCTTGAGCTTCTTTATCGCCCAGCAGACATAGCCTGAACAATTGAGGATGTTATATCTTTGCTATTGTTGCTAAGCAGCAACTAATACGAAAACGGTTTAAAAAAAAAATACATAATCCTCATCATCTATTGTCATCTTTTGAGCCGACTAGTAGTAGGCTTAGACCTAAGAGAAACAATTAAAATATCCTAGCTTATTATTAGACAAATAAAAATCACCGAAATATCTGTTGAAGCAAAATGAGTTCCTCTTGAATGGGCTCTTCAAGAATCTGAGTCAGGTATATAATATATATATAGTCAGTTGAGTTAGTCTCCAGCAATAACAAAGATGCATCTGTTATTCTTGATTTGAATGACTCTGAAACTTAAACGAGCGATAAAGGAAAACAAGAGTCATTCCAATCAAGAAAAACAGTTCATCAGATATCAAAAATAAAAAATGAAAAGGTATTACTCCATTTGTATTTTCGACAGAGAACCAATAAAATGAAAGCAGCACTTACTAAAGACAGCGTAATGCCCTCAAGAGCTTGGCTGCGGAGGAAAATATCCCGAAAATTCATAGGTTCACCAATGTCAGGATCATAATACATAACCTGACCATCATATGGGAATGGATTTGTTCTCAACATCTTTTGTATACCATTTTTAATTTAAAATATCTCCTCAACTATGAAATTCAAAATACATCACTCATATTTCCTAAACTATAAGCTCCATTCTAATGATTTTACATGAAGAAAGTTGGAAAACAAAACCCGGAAAAGCGAATTTTCAACGACAGGCACAAAAGAGAAAAATACCACATTTGGCCTCTGTTGAGGATCACACGATTCGCCAGACTTGTCGAGATTTTCGCTTTTGATGTCTTCCTTAAGCCTTTCGATCTCTTTCAATGCAACTAACCATCTTCTCAGTAATTGAACCCTTTCTATTCCCCTACACGAAACAGAAACTTCTTCTAATTGTTTTACTGCAAGCTTATAATTTTGGAAATTCCGAGCTCCCTACAGTGCCACAAAATCGGAGATTAACATTAACCAGGTTTCAATAATCTTCCCTTACCAAAAATAATTGCAATGAAGGATATATACAAACGTAACTGAAGAAAAAAAAAACAGAATCAACAAAATTCACAAAAACACAATCCCCAAAAAGAAAAAATGTGCATAGCATAAGTGCTAAATTATCTACAAATGACATGAATTGTCATACTTAGAAACAACAAAAAACAAAAGTATGACATTTCATAGTATAAGTACGCATTCGACCCGCCTAATCGTTAGACTGCCTCACACCAGAATTTGTGAGAGAAACGAAATTTCCTAAATCCATAAATTTCTTCATCATTTTAGATCAAATTTGGAGGTGTAAATGCAAAATAACCACGCATCGATCCTCCAAATTCTATGCATGCTTAAGATTCAATCCAAAAAAACCGTATACAGGGAAATATAAAAAAATAAAAAATAAATAAAAAAAACGAATATCTAACGAGAAACAGAGAGATCAGCTGATATTTTTACAATGCGATCCTGGAACAGCTTGGCCCCGCCAACGACGGCCTGGCCGGCCTGATTCACGACGGTGTCGGCATAACTGCGCACGACGCGGCTGAGATTCCTGTTGCCGCCGACCTCCACCGCTCGGTTCACCGCCGACCGTAACCACGACATCCTTAATCTGGGATACGATGAAGCTTTGTTTTTACGATCGGAGAAAAAAGTAACTGGGAGAAAATTGATAATTCAATGGATAAATAAAAAGTTGGAGAAGGAGAATGAGTGCGTTATGGAGAATAATGTTCGATTCGAGTCGGGAGCCGCTCGTTTCGCGCCTGTTTTAACAATATGTCCTCCCGCGTGCTCGTCACGATCCTCGTTTTGTGGGTAAATTTAGTAATTATTTTCTAATTTTTTTTTTTTTTTTGTACAAGAAAGGAGGCCGAAACCTAGTTAACTACTCGACGAGGGTATGAAACCCCTATGATATCATGCTCTAGCCAAGTCCCCAAATCCTGGTTAGGGGATGAAATTCGGTGAAGCCCAACCGGATACGAAGTCGCCAAACCTGCCA